GAAGGAAGGAAGGAAGGAAGGAAGGAAGGAAGGAAGGAAGGAAGGAAGGAAGGAAATTCTACACAATCTGTATCAGCTTATTGTAATTATACCATGTGTTATATTCATGTTGCATGCACATATGAACTAGGGGTACATATAAAAGATATAACTTACTGAACTCTGAAGTGGTTGAAATTTTTGAAACCGTATACTGCACAATTATTATATATTCCTGCCTACACAATTTATTTTGGGACCAGTATAAAGATCTGCATCATTGGCATTTAAATTCATTTCCCTCCTCCAGTATTCTTTCACTTTGCATTTACTCAGCTGTTGTAAGAACTGCTTTTAATGCTAGGAGCATACCAAGGAGATTAACTCAGCAATGGGAACTGACTTTTGTTCCTGCTGGGAATTGGGTTAAACCTAGTAGCATTGGATTTGGCAAGAGGTCACATAGAATTCAGCTCAGGCTACTGGGCCAGGTGAGGTAAGAAAAAATTAAGGTTTAGAGCCTAGGTCCAAGCTTGATTTCCCTAAACTGAACTTTGGGAATTGAGCTGTTACAGTCTGGGGAAAATGGAAGCAAATTTAAAACAAGTGGTGGTTTTTTTTTTGTTTTGTTTTTGTTTAAGATAAGTGACATATCCTTTGGGTAATGACATAGTGTTTTAGTCTTTATCCCAGTTCTTAGATTTTTGAAATATTGCAAGGTACATCCTTTTTAAAAAAAGCACTGAAAACCTGATCTTATTGTGAAGCAGTTACAGAAGTTTGCGAATTTGACCAAACTAATTTGGAGAGGAGGATATTGACCCTTTCCTTGTGCTGTTTTTTTTTTTTCCCAGGTTCCCCTAGATATTTTTCTACCCAGGAGGGAAAACCTATGAGAATTTTTTCTCTCTTGGGTGGAAAAATAGCTAGAGAATCACCACTTCTCTTTCCATTGCAATGATCAAATTCACAGCCTTCCTTGGCAGCCTTTTCCTATGATTGGGTGTATATGAATGTTCCCAATTCCTGTTTTAAGCCATTGAAGTCAGTGGTTGTCATCATGCGTTGAAGGAGTGAACTCCACAGTGTAATTCTGTTTTCTGTGATTACTAATTCTGTAATGAGTGGGATATTTTGGTGTGCTTTGTAAGTCATTGGTATCTGTAGTGGAAGGGAGAAACACGGGAAAGAAGTTTTTTTACGACAGGAAAATATTGAATTTGGGAGCATCTTAAAAGGCTAATCAATTATATAATCACATAAGTATTTATAAATTATACCCACCATCTGATGAATGAAATAAATTCCTATGAGAGAAACTTGAAAGTACATAAGGTTGGGACATGTGTGGAAATAGTGAGAAGAGACAGGATTGTTCTGGAAACTGAGATACATAGATATAAAATAGTTTAAATATGGACAATAAAAAGTAGTGCTATGTGTTCTTGTTAGTCCCATGAAAAAAAAGAATTGTGTGATCATGATACAATTAATGTGACCAGTAATTGTAACATGAGAAACACTGTAGATTCAGCAGTGTAAAGGCTATGTGTTTCTGTTTTAGGGGGACAAAAAGCACACTGTGGTTAGTCTTCTATATGCTTGTGCAAGTGGCTATGTTTAGTCTCATAGGAGTCAGGAATAATGCACCTTGCCTCACCAAGGCATTGCACCTTATTTCCAAGATCTCTTGTGGTGCATACTGAACATGCCAGAGGAAACCTCAGAAGCAATGTAAAATAAGTGTAGCTCTGAAATACTTTTAAATAAAAATGGTAATATGTATTCTGAGATAAAATATTCAGCTCAGAATTTTGAAATTGCACGCACCCATTCCCTCTTTTCCTCTCTAACATTCTGAACAGACAGTAGATGAAGACCAAGCATGGATCATGTTGTTTTCTTCCAGCAACTTCTGTTCACATGATAGTTGAGTTTTAGTAAGCTTTCACTATATTTTTTATTGGTGAATGGGACAGGGCACCAAAGGAAATATTTGAAACGGAAGATGCTTTTGTGTTTTACTAGTTCTTTTGCAATACTGTACTCTTACAGCAGCCTTATATTAAGAAATTAAGCACAAAATGCTTTTTCTGGCATGGAGGTAAAATGATAGGAAAAGCTTGAATTGCTAAATATCAGTAAGCCTGATTACAATTAAAGGGAGAAAAAAATGGCAATTCTGACCAGTAAAATGACAAATTAAAGTATGTTTGGCTTTCAGAGACAAAACAGAGTTGGAGTCTTGACATTTGATACATGTGCTGCATGTCACTGTAAGGTTTCTCGTTGGTTCTTGATGCATTTGGTAAATGGAGTAGCTTTTGGATCATAATTCTGTGTAATTAAGGGTATGTGGATAATACTGATTGTTTTAAGAGTAATGGGAATCAAATAATACACCATAGTTCAGTGCATTGTGTTATTGTATAGGAAATTTGTATTGTATGTGGCAAATTTGGATATGGTAGAACCTCTGTGTTGCTTTTGGTCATACATGAATAGATCCATTTTGGAGTTCAATATGTCCAATTCAGTATTGCCCAGTTACAAATAGCAGTTGCAGCTTGATTCCTTCTGCTCAAATGGAAACAACTTTCAAAATGTACAAAAGGTGGGATTTCTTCTCTTTTGTGTATGTAATATATGTGTGTCTTAAATGTACATTATAAACTCTTAATTTCCCAGTATTCTTTAAATGTCCTTTCTGTTTCTTTGGCATTCATCCTGTCCTCTGTTTCCCTTGTATATCCCTTGTGGGTCTTTGGCCTTTAGCCTAGGCTGGCAGACCTGATGCCCTAACTTAGAAGTTCACGTATTGTTACCACAAACTGTCCTGTGATAGCAACATTGGCAGACTCCTCTTTTGTTTTCCTACAGTGTACGTGAAGCATTCATAGGTTGACTATTTAAAGCAAATGCATGGGAAAGGGGTGGAAAGATGGTGGCAGGCTCGTGATGCTGAATCTTCCGCCTTGTCTGCTCCTCCTTGAGGGATGAACAGCCAAAGGGCAGGGGAGGAGGAGGAGGAGGAGGAGGAGGTAAGGAAGGGTTAAGCTTCCCGCTGCCTTTCTCTTGACTGCCCATGTTATGTGCATCGCTGGTTAACTTGCACCAGTGGTGTACCAACTTTTTCCAGGCTGCTGTTTTCAGCCTAAGAAATATTTCCTCAATACTGTTTTGCTTCCCATTAGCTATTTGTTTTGGCTAAACTTCTTTGGCTGTTTAATATGTTTTATATTTAGCTCCTTCCGGTTTTTCACGCCTTTATTTTGGACTATGTAGCTTTCTTGTTCAGCTGGCAAAGCATCACACACCTGATTTGTCATACACGAAAATAACGTGCAGAAGCGTGTTCTGTCATGAAATGTTATGATGAGTCATTTGGTTTATATATGAATTAGGTTTTAGACAGTTTTTAGTTTCCTCATATCTGGAAACTTGAGTAGAATGTGCAGCTAAATGTTACAACTGATAACAATAGTAAATTCACAGGAGACTTCAGAAAGAGCAAGTGGCTGTCAAGGTCTGTTTTTGTTTCCTATGCACCTGCTTCCCTGGATTGAACTTGCAGATTGTTTTGATTTGGGTATTTCTTCATTCCACTGTTGTGCCAACGCAGGCACTTGCATTACATCAAGCGTGTGGAAGTGACCAGTGGACAGAAGTTAACCCTTAGGAAACTGCTAGGTTGAGGAAACGATCTCCATGTGGAGGTCATCCTTCCTTGGAGTTTCCTAAGGCATCAGTAAAGCTCATGTTGTAGTGATCTTGGCAAAAGCAGCACTGTTCTCAGGACATACTACAATAATACATATAGACGTATAGTTAATGTCACTCAGTAGTCTCAAAATGTAGTTGTACAGTATGTCAAACTTACATGACAGACAAGTGGTTCTAGGACAGAGATTAGATTTCATTTGACGTTGTTTCATTAGAACTTACCCCTTGGTCTGTTGTACAGTAGCCACATTTCCTTGTCCATCTTTCTTATTCTAGCTGCCTACTTCAGCTCAATTACATATTTTGGCCTTTTTTGCCATTTGCTCTTACTTCAGTTCAGCCCTTAATCCCGTAGTTCTGTTATTTAAAGCAATCCAAATATTTTAAAAGGTGTGGCTAGCTGAGGCCTTCTATTTAGTCTGGACCAGTGTTTGAAGCACACCCTAAGATGAATGGTCCTATGCATCTAAGTCAGTGTTTCTCAACCCTGGCAACTTTAAGATGGGTGGACTTCAACTCCCAGAATTCCCCAGCCAGTTTGGGAGTTGAAGTCCACCCATCTTAAAGTCGCCAAGGTTGAGAGACACTGATCTAAGTATTCAAACATCAAGATTTACTTGCTGTTTTGAATGAAATCGCCTTTGAGCTTAAAATAGTATCTGGGCCCTGGCCTTTGCTTTGCTGTGTCGTAATCACATAACAAATGTTTATGGAGAGTCACCAAGTCAACTGACATCCTTTGTGCACGGAAGAGGTTTGCGTGGATTTTTTAAACATTTGAGTGCAGTCTCTCTTTAAAGTTGAGCACTATGTATTGTGGTAGTCTATCTGACATAGTCAAATTAGTCCTGCTTCTTTTTCTAGAGTCGATGGTCAATTAGTTGTAACAGACAGATAGTAAGTATCATTTTATCTCCAGTCTTAAACTTTGGCTTCTGAGATAAATTTATCTGAGGCCAATTCCCTAGTTCTTTTAAGGGCTCCAAACAGCTTTGATTGTGTTATTTGTATATCAAACTTCTCCCCCACACATACGTCTTTTGTGGATATTTAGGGAAAACATGAGGAGCTTTACTATATTTTAATATTTTTAGAACACAGGCTATGGACAAGCTAAGGTAGAACACTTTTTTTCATTAAACTGAAAAAAAGCTACTACATGCAAAACATACTCCTAGACCTGCTGATCTTTAACAGGACTCTGGCTGAAGGAAACAGTATAGATAATCAATCTCTTACATTGCAGTAATTTGACTTACCTTTATTTTGTAAGTAGGTACAATTCCACTATAGAAATAGTGTTTTGGGATTTGTAGAAGAGAGAGCATACCTTTCTTTGTGCATTTAATTATGCATCCCATAGGCACATCCCAGAAATGCCTCTCTTGTGTTCTTCCCTCTCCTTTGAACAACGCGTAGATTATATGGATGAGGTGTCTGTGCGCAGCACCCGTCCATATGTGGAATGGAGCAAGGGGCATGTCCACTTCTGCCCTTTCATAAAGACTGCCTGTCATTTCACATCTAGATTGGTTCTTGGGGGATTTTGTTGGAGTAATATGCTTTCTGTATACTTTATGAATTGATGTTTGTGTCAGGTTTTGGAGAAATTGCCATCTTTCGTGGTTTCCCATCTGCTTAAACATAATTAACACTGGGGAAAAACATAACCCCTGGAACCTATGCATTCTTTCTATTATGATTGATATTCCACTTAAGTTGTCTTGAATGGCAATACAGTAACTCCTTTAAACAACAACCCAAAACAAGCCTTTTACAATTTTGAAAGTAAATTTGTGAAAGGCTAATTTTGGAATAATCCTGCGCGTCTAAGATAAAAATCGCAAGCTGTTGTTTGAATGCCCCTACAAGAATTGCAGGCATGAAACTTATTTCCTCTCATCTTGTTATGTAGAGATGGAAGGGAAGCGCCATAGCCTTGCCAGAATCCCATTATGTCAGGTGGATGAGGCAAGAGCTTCGGTGCTGCTGCTGCTGCTGCTGTCGTCCTTCCTTTGCTTGGTTTTTAGAAATGTCAGAAATGTTATATTTTTGCTTGGCTTGAAAACTGAAGGACGATGTAAACAGTTCAGATGTAGGTGAGCTGCACCATCTGGCCTTTTCCAGCTAAAGCGAAGCCAACTGCAGTGCTGCAAGACTCTGGCTAGGATCGGACAAAGAAATGATTGACTATAGGCAGCCAGCCAATTCCTTTTAACCTTAATCTGAGTTAAGTGTAGTTATAATTACTTTCCACATATTTATTAAGTTCTCAATTTTGTAGTAGCCTTTGGAGGAACTCTAAAATTGTGCATCTCTGCTGTAAAATAATTTATCTTCTTGCCAGACTCAAGATCTTTGAAACAGATTTATGACTGCATTTGACATAATAGGCTTTACTACACGAAAGCTTCTACCACAATAAATCTACTAGTCTAAGGTATCCCAAGATACTTCTTGTGCATATGTGCTGTAGCTGGTCGTCTTAAGACTTTCTGGTGTTTGTTTGAGGCAGATGAATGAAAACCTCTATCGCATGTGCTCATTGTGTGGATTTAATTACTTTAAAACAACCTTTTCTAAACAAAAAGTTGAAAGAGAAATAACTGATATGATTGTCCCCTGAATTATCTTCTTTATTTCCCTTCATCAAATGAGCCTTGTGGAAGTTGAGATCAGGCAGCACACAAATGTGCCTGTCCTTCTTTGCCTTACATGGCTGTGTCTTTTCTAACGTATCTGCATGTATTTGTAGTCAAAAAAAGCAGTGGGTATTTATACAGGTGGAGTCACTTGAGAATAATTTGGAGGTTCACTAGTTCATTAGCTCTGGCACAGATTGCCAATAGCTTTATTTAGGTTCTTGGCATACATTACACCAAATCACTGGTTTCTCAGATAAATTATAGCTACCAGATTTCATCCTTTGGGAATCTCTGTAACATTTTCAAGAGTCAACAATTTAGACAATGACACGATTATGCTCCGAGAATATCATCCTGGTTTTGGCGTCTCCTGTTTTTTTTCCCCCTTCTGTGTGCTCTACCAGATCTCATAAATTATATACCATTTGTTTCTGGTAACAAACCTCACATTAAGCAGCGTAGAACAAGATTAAATATAGTGACAGTTGCTCCAAACGTAGTGTTAAAGATACGATGCATTCACAAGACTTTCTTCTGCCTTTATTTCTAGCCAACTGCAATCAAAAAATTATGGATTTGGAGTCTAGAAGATAGAATGTCAGAAAATTGCCATACATAGGGAAAATTGGGCTGTCCATGGAAGCTTTTTTTTTTCTTTGTTAAGATCTTGTCCCACAGGAGTTTTAGAGCATGTTAGATGGGCCTATTAATGTATACAGTAGTAGAGGGAACCCATTTGAACGAATCCACCTCAGTGCGTGTGCAAGCATGATTGAGGCAGACAGCAAGGACATCGATTAGTGTCAGAAAATGGATATAGGGAAAGGAATTAGGTAGACATACAGAATTCTATGAGTTAATCATTTTTCTCCATGGTTGTTGAATGTCTCCAAGTAATTTTGCATTATGTTCATGAAACATACTCCATATGTACCTTAAATAAAAAGATAGTGAAATACATGTCTCAGGAAGGATGAGTTTAGGATTGTGGTATAATGTTGTTTACACTCCAGCTTTTCTATAAGTCCAAAACAAATATATTCAGTTTTGAATATGAAATATACATACTTTAGGTTAAGCATTAATAATATCTTCCAACGCATACTCTATACCATTAGCCATTTGGGGACTTCTGTTTTGACACCACTTAACCCTTGAGTGTTAAATGGATTACTATTATTTATTTTTCTCATCTCAGTAAGTGAAGATAGTAGAAAATGTCTGTCTTTGGTGGCATACTTGAGGCAACTCATTCATAAATGGCAACCATATTTGATTTGCAGCCAATAAACAACAAATACCCTCCCTCTGTTTTACACCAGCTCAGTCAGGCTATTTGCCCATCCAGACCTACTCAGATTTGCAGAGGCTCTAGAGGGGCTTAGGCAAAGTGCAGCAATTGAACTTGGATCTCTCTACAAGCAAGACCCTGCCATTGAGTTCTGGTCTCTGCCTTTGAAATGTAACTCTGATCTACATAAATTTATACTGAGCTATGAGCTAGCAATTGTATGCTTAAATTAAAAAAAAAAAAGAGGACCGCCTGCTAAGGAAAAGAGGATTTGAAGCAATCTTGTTTACATTATTTATTAAAAAACAAATGATAGAAATTATTCATGTATTAATGAAGAGAAACTAATTTTTATGCAAATACTTATTGACCTAGCAATCTGATTGAAGCTTTGTCATCATACACACACACTTGTTCCTTTTCAGATCTAAAGATGCAACTATATCCCTATAATTGCAATAGAAAAACCTCAAAAGCCAATAGAAGATAACTGCTTGGTTACAATCCCAGTTCTACCCACTTTTGTTGTACCAATGGTAGAAGTGCATAAGCTGCCTTATTGGCCAGCTTAACACTTCTACCATTTGTGCTTTGTTAAAGCTACCCAGATCATTTAATGTGTTAGTACTGCAATTCCTCATTTGGCCTACACATTTGATAATCTTTACTGCCTCAAATGAAAGCTGCTTGTTTTAAAATAACCTCTTGTTTCTTCTTTCAGGGTTTATTGGATTACCAGGGAGTAAATCATCAGATCATAATTTTGCGCCTCTTGCATTACATCGTCCGTTTCATATGGAGAATGCAGTGACTAGCGCTTCAAGAGGCCATGAGGATTGTTTACTTGGTTCTAGCAACAAAGCCCATGAACAATCTCTCTGAATGCAGCTAGCAGGCCCTTCCTGACTTTAAGGGACATCCAGCAAATTAAAGGAGCAGGAGGACTCCATATTAGGGAATTAATAAATTGTGATGGATTTTTGGAAATGGATCATCTTTTTTAGAAGCAAGATTTCATGTGAAGATAGAGCTGACATCATTTTATTGTTGATGAAACTTTTTTTTTTAAAAAAACCTGTGCTATATAAAGCTTTCAAGAAAATCGTTGAATCATGTTGTGTTCTCATTAGCAAATGTGTAGGCTGCTCCTCTATCTTGCAGTGAAATTGACTGAGCCAGCTACTTTTGTAAAGCTGCCTTAGTTTTTATATTAAAGACATATTGTACAGCTTTTTAAAAAACGAATCTTCCCAAGCAGTGAGAGGCCAGACTCTAGAATTAGGGCCTCCATTCGTTCCAGACCACTTCCATGCAGAAGAGCTCATGATCATTAAATGAAGTTGGTGGAGACAAGGTGGAAAGATTGGAATTGATACTTCTGGATATTCCTCCCCAAATTTCTGCCACTGAAGTCAGCTGCTTTTGTGTGTCTACACACAGAAGGAATTTACACAGAATATGTACCCATCTGCTGTGCAAGTACCAGACTGGATCTTTCCTTGTGCAGAGCTCGCTTCTTGCAGCCCAGAGGAAGAAATCTTGAAGTTGCTTTGAAAGTTGAAATTAAACTGTGAAAGTTTAAATGGTCCAAATAATGACACCAGGTTGCCTTTTATAATTTTCTTCCTATATTATTTGTATAGAACATGTATATTCTATAACATAAACTGATGTGGGGAGGGAGGGGGCAATGTAGCAATAAGTTTTTGCATGTGGGTGAAAGCAGTTCCTACACCTGTGCAATATTGCCCCAAGTTGTTACAACAGGGTCCTACTGCATGATTCCTGGCACTGTTTTGATCCTCATTGTGGTATTTTACTGTTGTTTAAATCCAGTTTGGGTGTCTTAATTTTTTTTAACAAACACTCTGGATTTAGTTATTGCTGCCTTTATTCTTAGAATAAATTATCAGGAGGGATGAGCTAGTAACCATAATGTGGAATGTACAAGAACTACTGACTCAGTGCATGGGTTTGAGGTCAATAGCAGCACAGTATTCAAATTGATTCAGAGGGTAAAAATTCCAAAAGAGAGATGGAAACAAGATTTTTAAAAATGTTTTAACAGCAGAATTTGTGGATCTCCCCCACCCCCTGTGCAGCCTCATATCCTCAAATGAGAAAGTAGATGACTGGCTGCATATACCTACTATGTTTGTGAGGACTACTTTGTAGTATGCTCAGAAAAAAAGAAAAATCTTGAACCAAGGGTAACTGATTCCAAAAAGCTGAATTGTGCAACCTTAATGGAAATAAAGCAAATTGTTTCTCTAAGCCATAGACAGTGGTAAGGATAGTGATTCCCAAACCATGGACTAAGGGTCTGTCATATGCCATGGGAGAGACTGAAGTGTGTCTGCAAAAAGAAACTGCCATATTTGATGTCACTTCATCCCCCTTCTGTGCCTATAGATGGAAACAAATATCCTTCTCAAAATAAGGGTTCTCTAGAGTTCCTGGTTCAGGTTCTCTTACATTTACTAGGTACAGAAGACTCCAGAAACGTAGGAAGCTGCCTCATTCTGAATCAGACCACTGGTCTGTTTAGGTTAGTGATTGTTAGATGCGTCTTTGCCAACCCTTCTCAGAGATGTATAACATCCAGATATATTTGCATGCAAAGTATATGCTGGACCACTTAATTATGACCATTCTGTCCCAAAGCCCTGATTAACGTGGGAGGAGGCAGGATGGCAGCAAGTCCAGTTCACTGTGGCATTTTCTGTAGTTTTAAGGAAGATGCCTGTTCATTATTTTAGGTGCTGATTGGAAAATAAGTGTGTTATGAATTGGACCTCTAGTAAAGATGAGAACATACTGTGCTCCAGAAAACAACTCTGAGAACAATTTAGAAGGTTAGACAGAACCTTGAGGCGCCTTTGCCTTTGGTATTTACAGGAGAAATGATCAAATGCTTCCAGTTTTTTGTGGGGGGGGGGCTTCCAAAAGGGTTACAATTTTGCTTTAAAACAAAGTGCAAAAGCTCAGGATATTGAATTCATTAAATTAGTAAAAAAAATATATGGCACACACACACAAGCTCAATCTTGAATGAAAATGAATCAAAATATAGTAAGTAAAATTCTAATGTAAGAACGGTGGCTGGCAGATAGGCCTGTTGACTTGCTTTCAAAAAAGCTTTTGGTTCTGAGAAATCTTTTGTCACCCTTGATTTGTTAATTAAATATAAATTGTTTGACTCTTCAAATATCATAGGTGATAGCAAAACGTAAAATAATAGGTGATACGGCTTGGGAAAACTCAAAGCCAAAAGCACCAGTGATTTAATAGAAATTAAGCAAGCAGTAAAGCTGTGCTGCACCACATTATGGTCAAGTAGTTCATGCGTCATTTTTTATTTGGCCATGAGAGGCAACTGAAAGTGAGTATTTGCATAGAAGTTTCTGTTTATGTAGCTGCCCCTTATTCTCTTTGCCCATGTAATTTTATCTGGTCCTTGATTAGCTAGCTATATATACTGGTACAGACTATAAACAAGATTCCAAGTACTGTGCCACTTACTTCTGGTCTCACCAGCACCACTGAAAATGTGTACCTACCTTCAAAAAGTTACAGACTTCTCTTGAAGCCATCCAAAGTGCATTTGTAGAATCTAGACTCTATCATTTCTCTGTGTTATCAACAACACCTCTGTGATTTCTCTGTATTGTACCATAAATGTTCAACCTGTGTGCCTGCCTGGAATGTGTGGAATGTTAGTCCACCTAGTGGAGACTCATCTATCCCCTGTATTACTTCGACCTATTGTTTCGGAAGTCCAGCAAATTAAAATACCAGGCTCTCCAACAAGCAAAATGCATAGGCAGGTGCAAGTTGTCCATATAACTGCCTGATAGGGTCACTAAGGACAGAAAACACAAAGTGCTAACCATCTCTTGGAAATGGGGAGATTAAGGGTGTATTAGATTAAAGTTCCTTGCCCCATCTCAACAGGCAAATGACTTCCAAACTGACAAGGTTGATTAGCTGGCACTGTATGCATTGCTCTTGGTGTTAAGAACAACCTCGACAACTACATGCCACCCTTTCTTGTCCATATTTTATAGGGCTGTGCAGCACTTCAGATTCAGCTTCAAAAAATGCTTGAGAATGCACCGGGGAGAGGAACACGGCCCTTGACAGCAACTCCTTAAAGCAGTTGTCCCTGTATCGTGTGGCAAGTGTTTGATTTCTTGGAAAAGTTGCAGGTGCTTTAGAGAGTGCTAAGGTGCATTCTCCCATGCATTCTGTAGTATCTTTTAGGAAGAAAGCCATGTTGGTCTGTGGTAACAAAAAATCAGGAGAGCTCTAGTAGAACCTTTTCCGACTAACACATTTTATTAAAGGACATAGGATTTTGTGAGCTACAGCTCACTTCATCTGATGCACTGAGTGGCTAGATTGATACAGAACTTAAATTGGGGTGAGGTGGGAAGGGAGGGGAAAGTAGTTTGGTTATGCCGATGCAGCTCTTATCTCATGTGTAACTTATGCATCTGATGAAATGAGCTGCAACTCACAAATGTTTATGACTTAATAAAATGTGTTAGTTGGAAAAAGTGCTATCTGAGCCCTCCTGATTTTTTTGAAGCATCTTTTAGAATTGTGTCTGAAGCACTGCAGATGCCTATAGTTACAGGTATAGCAGGGGAGACACAAATGGAAGTCTGTTGCTTTTTATGGCCAGCTCTTTTTAAATCAAGCATTGCTTGGTAGCTCTATAAGGGGGAGAGATTCCTTGTTCGATAATGTCGGTCAATAACTTCCTTAATTTGATTTGTTACCTTAATTTCAAATAGAAATGACAATGTTGTTAATAGGAATTTGATCTGTATATTTGCATGTTGCCTGCAAAATCTGATTTATTGAAAGAGGAAAGGAAATGGATTTAACAGCTAGCATTATGCTGCTCAGATTGATACTGTGCAAAATGCCAGAAATTCTTTCTATTCCAACGACAGTGATGCCGATTCACAGCATTAGGCACAACTTCTTAAGAGTTTGCCAGTAATCTTGTCTGTGTGTCATATGCATTTAAATTTGACCATATTTTAAATGGGAATAATTACCAGAAGTATCTTTCAGCACAAACTGGCTTATGTTGGTTGCCAACATGGACCCAGCATAATGTGCCTAGACTTTATCTTTCTTTACTCACCAAAGCATATTTTCTTTTTGGAATGAAACCTTTGGCTCCTGCTCCTGTACCTGGAGCACTCCAGTGTTAATATAAAATTTTTCTGTAAACTTCATCCATGGTTGGGATCTTGGGAGTTCCACGCATGCACCTTATGTTGGAGGACTCCTTTGTTCTTTGCTTGGATTGGGGCAGCAGATGCTGCTCCTTAGAATACCCTAATTCGAGGAGTGGCTTTTTCTTGGGGGTGGGTGTAAGGAAATAAGGAGCTGCTGTAGGAAGGGGGGCTTTGAAAAGTCCTAGTGCATGAGCAGCAGCATCTGTGCTGCCCTTTTGCATCCCTTGTTCTCCCCCCTCCCCCAATTTCTTGAAAGGCTTGGCTGGCCCAGTGCCTTGAGATGTGTACACATCCATATGTGTTAACTGCTAGCATGGAAGTGCAATGAGCTTGCTGCCATGGCTTAAGGCAAACTTATTATAAGCCTAATACATATTTTTAAAATTCTGTGAATTATAACGTAAACAGTAAATGACACGATATTGGCACTGTGTGGCCCAAACCCAAGCTTTCTTTTTTCCACAGACATTTATCTATCTGTATAGATACCTATATCTAAAAACTAAAATAATGCCCATTTGGTTTTCCAGTTCACTGCAGGTTTTGTGCCTTGACAGCCCCACTGTGAACTTAGTAGACTTGTGGGTTTTTAAAATCTTGATGTAATTTAACATATATAACCTTTTTGTCTATTAGAGGATTTAAAAAAAATAAAATTCCCTTTTAAATAGTCCTGCCAAAACATTTTTATGAAGAATTTTCTTTGGTTGTAGAGAAACCAGATATAAATTTCTTCCCAGAGAATTACTAAGACTTTCAATGCTTTTATTTTCTTTCAATGATTGTAAATATTTGAATATTTATTAGATTAGAGCAGTTCTTCTCATCTGAGCCAAATGTTACCTGTGTGCAATGTTTCCTCTTTTCTTACTATTTCATGTAAGATTTTTTTTTGTATAGCAGCAGAAATTTCTCTAAACTTCTTTTTGTAAAATTGAACTTGTTAAATACTGTAGTTTCCCCTTTTCTTTGTAATTAATGCACTCTACTGTTTCATAATGCTGTAACTTGTAGAAATGTTGTATATTTATTTTCTGCTTATTTAAGTTCTTGTAAAGTCTTTTTTTTTCTTTAAATTTTACTTAGCATATATGAAAATAGTGATTGATCAGTTTAGAGCACTGTCTACTAGTTTGAGATAGTTGGCGCTATTTTAGACGATATTAATCCCCTTATTTTCTCTCATTGCTCTTGCCTCCTCCTCTGTCTTGTTACAGCGTTCAGGTATGAAGTGCAAGCAGAGAGTAGAATTCCATTGTGTCATTAGAAAAGCCCCATACCCAAGGGCCACATACAGCATCTCACTTGAAGCCTTGAAACATTTGTTCTACATAACTTCTTTGTGGGGACTGATGGTGGCTTTCAAAGAAATTTTACTAAAGCAACATGCAGTGCTCTGAATTAGTCAGTCTTCAGAAATGATAGAAGTGACCTAAGAACTCACATGGGCAAGTCAGAATTCAGCTGACCCTAGCAACCCACCACAAAAATCAATGTCTAGAAAATTCATGAAATACCAGATAACAACCTTTTTTGGTGCTTTCTGTTTCTTTCTTGAATTGTGCTAATATTAAGGGCTGTTAATACCGCATCCCTTGACCTCAGTTTATATAGCACAGGATATGGCTGTTACCTCATGATCAAGAAGTACCTGCAATTTATTCAAGAACTACTAAATTTTTAGAGGAAGAGTGAAATTTTGCACCCTGGTTTAAAGACCACTAGTTACTGTATGACAGACCTCGTCATCAGGTACAAACATCAACGTAGCACTGATCTTGTACTGATTAATCACTAATTTGTTTCATAGAACCCAGCATATGTAGCATTTTTATTGCAGTTTCCCTGGCTTACTTGTGTTTTGCACTGATGAAAATTTGACAGGGTAATTGCCACTTTACTTGTGCAATACTGCTGTAAATAACTGCAGATCCTTTTTTTTAAGATGCAATCCTTTATGTTCTTAATAATGAATTTTATATGAATAAAACTTTCAACTATTCATTGTGTACTTGTTTCTCATTTATTTATCAGCAGTTTTCTCCACAGATTTGCTTATTTTTATAGTTGCATTTCATAAATCTACATGCAGTTCAACTTAAAACTTCTCGGCACCATACTTGTAATATAGTCCATGAGGCTGGAGGTAGCAGATATATTGCCTAACTACCTAAATAAAATCAGTAATATTGTTTCTAAAATACATAGTACCTAGCTGCTGCTAAAGTAGGCAATGAAATGAACAGGGGAGTTAAAATAATTTAAGTCTCTCAATTTGAGAAAAGGATATGATTTTTAAAACAGGAAAAATTGAATTAAAAATGGGAGGGTGTATTAGATTTGCTTTTTCTGTCCGGTCTTTTTGAGGGGAGATTTTCTAAAATCCAAGAATATCTTCTTTTTGGTCAAATAGAGTAACAGTACAAGTTAGTTAATACAAGTTAGATTTCTTTACAAAAAGAACTGGCAAACTGCTACAGGGAATTTTGTTTGTTTTACATCCCACCTTCAGAAGCTCATAGCATTTCTCCTTGTTTTCTCTACATTTTAACCTTCATGACTAAATGGAACATGTATATTTAGAATGATGTTTTTGATTAGTAGATGATGAAGACCAGCAGTAGGGATTGCTACTATGGCAGACAGTATGTGGGCTTCCTGGAGGGAGATGTGCAGTACATAGCCAACTTTGGAAACAAAATAATCAAAGAAAACCTTCGGGAAGATCAGCAAGCTGCTTCTAATATATAATATCCACATGTTGACCTATTTATTATTTTCTTCAGCGCCCTATTTACTACATTCTTAAACTGTCTATTGCTAACCCAAAGTGTTGAGTCTGTTTAAATTTAGTAATTTGTTGCCTCATCTTGTGGAATAGTCTGGGCCCTGAGATTAAGGACAGCCTTGTCCCTACTGACATTTAAGAAGGAACTTCTAAGATGGTCCTCTTTTGCCATACTTTTGGATCTTAATTTTTATAGTAATTTTGTTACTATATTTTACTGTCTTGTCTGGGTTGATTAATTTTTATTTTTTCATTGTAGCTTTACACTTGTAAACATTTTTATTGATAATAAGCCATATGGAGTTGTCTCATTGGGGTGGCATAGAAATAATGTAAAATTAATTTTTAAAAACATACAGGGAGGGTAAAAGTAATTTATGCAAACTTCTGTTAGCAGAAGATTGAGATGAATCTTCTCCTCTAAATACTTACAGTTCAGTTTAAAATGTTCCTAAAGCAATTTTAAAAATACTGTTCAAAATTAAGTGAGAAATAGTTACATCCATAATAAAAAAGTGAGTCAGCTTAAAGAGTGAGACCAGCAACTTGTAAAGAGACCATTAACCTCTCAATCTAGTAGTAGCCATCCTTTCTGCTATAATGGAAGAATGGCATGCTACTCAGTTGGCACACTGTTGTACTGGCATTGTACGGGTAGAAGGTGGCACACACCCAATTACAGAGTAATTCAAATTACTCCATTTGGGTTGCTTCCTGTACAACATTTTTCTCTTAAGAACTTTCAAGAGCATCTTGCTGTCTGAGGCGCTCAAAATATTTTCTAGACCAAAATAAAAAATCACTATTTTTCACATGCTCATTGGTGAGCAAGCTCAAATTGTGATTCAGAAATGGGCCAGAGTATATTAATATATCACTTTTCCACTCTTATTGAATCTGTGGAATGTCAACAACTATTTGGAATGCTCCAGACTCAGGAAAAGAGGAGCTGGAAGAACCATTTAGTGTAAATTGTGAATGTGTAGCCAAACATTTTGTGGATAAAATCATATTTGCTCTCAGCTGGAAGCTGGATGGACAGAAACTACTGAGATGACAGGAATCCTATATGATGTTATCTTAGAGTTTTTTAAGCCTGTGGATGTCAAGGAAATTATCAGAGTTCTCTGTGATGTTCCCTCTGATATTTGTGCATGGGATCTCTGCCTGACCTGGCTGGTGAAAGTGGCCAAGAGGGCTGTAGTCAATGCTTCTTTGTGGGAGACTCCAGCATCTTTGAAAGAGCCGCTGATCTGCCTTCTCAAGAAATCAGGCCTGAATCCAATGGAAATGAACAAATGTCCTATCTCCAACCTCCTCCTCTTGCAGAAGGTTGGTGGGAAAATGATCATGCTACAGTTATAAGGAGCTTTGGGGGATGCACATTATCTGGACCCTGGCAGTCTGGATTCACATTGTTAAGTCCTTGACTACAGACCAAGGAAGTAAAATTCACAGAGTCTTTAATAAGTTTTAATATCAAGAATTAGGCGTTAGAATACAGAATCTTGAGACTTGAGATAGGAACCCTTTAAACCTCCTTTATTAGTGAGTTCATTAAGACAGGGTCTCTTTGAAGCTTTGGAATCTCTTTCCCAGAATGTTTGCATGACAGATTAAGAGCCTTTTATTAGATAAATCTGTAATGGGATTCCCCATTTGCTGATTGATTGTGTTTAGAAATACTCCTACTTCTTTCTTGGTTTCAGTACAACCTCTTACAAATGACCACTGGTGGGACTTGGATTGAGGGAGGACAACCATCCTTGTCCTAGATCTTTGAGCAGCTTTTGATACTTTTCACCACAGTATTCTTCTGGATTGCCTGCAAGGATTGGGAATTGGTGGCACTGTTTAATAGAGGTTCTGCTAAAGTGGATGGAGGAAAAAGTTAGATCTTTAGGTTCAGGTGCATTATGGGGTGACACAGGATTTGGACTTCTCTATCATATTTAAATCTACATGAAACTGCTGGGAGAGGTAATCCCACTTGTTTGGGGTGAAGCATCATCAATATACTGATGATGTTCAGTTGTATACCTCCACTTCAGGCCAAATGGGAGATACAACAAAAGTCCTGACCTGGTCTGTAGGCTGGATGAGGAGAAACAGGCTCAGATTCAACCCGAGCAATGCAGAATGGCTGTTAACTCAGAAGCCAACTGATTTCAAGGCTATACCATCTTTGAATCTCATTGAGATTGTGGTTCCTCAGAGCAACCAGGCTTGCAATTTAGGGGTTATCTTGGACTCGTGGCTCTTGCTAGAGGAGGAGGTAAGGGCCATGATCACGAGGGCCTTTGCTGAGATTTGGCTAGTGTGCCAGTTGTGGTCTTATCTAGAAGAGGATGTGCTAAGTAGATGCTTATGACCTTGTCATCTCTTGCTTAGATGACTCTAATTTGCTCTTTACAGTGGAGTCCTTGAAGATTTGGAAACTTTAGCTGATCCAAAATGCAGCAGCCTGCATGCTTACTGGCCAGTCTTGATATTGCCATATTATACCATTGTTGTAGGAGCAAGGTTGACAAATCTATTGCTTAATCTGAATGACAAAGATTGAGCCAATGAGCCTCTGAATAACTATAGGATACTCTTATTAGAGTACCCATCCATATCATCTGTAAATCAACATGGATACAAGCAAAGATGTTACCACTCCATCCTCCAAAATTGGAGGAACATTATGGGATATTCATATCCAAAGCCTGCTTTTTATCCTGCAATCTGCTGCCCTAAAAAGTCTAGTTAATCTGTTAATTGCTTGAAGGCATAAAAAAGCTCTATGTGCTGCTGCTGAATTCCTAGATGTGGACACATTGACAAACAGTCTGCCTTTCCAAGCAGCTGCATTTTGATGGGGAAACAGAGAGTGATAGGGTTTCAATCAGCCCATGCATACTGTGCTGAATCAGCAGGCTGCCTGAGCTCTGGCAGTATGCCTTCATGGAAGGGCCTCCATGGTTCCTTTACCCCTTGTGCAACCTGCCAGGCAGCCCTGCTTCACAGCCCAAGGGTGAAAACATGGCCAGGTGAAAGCATGGGGCTGGGACAAAATGGATATTTTAAGTCAAGAAGATACTTTGTAACGATATAAAGTTACTTCAGC